GGTCGAATGTCCGTGTGACAACCACGGCCCCCGTGCCACTCGTTCTCCCACTGACGGTGTACCTCCTTCTCGAAATTAGGGTCGGCTGTGACCTTGTATGCCCCCATCATTTCATAATGGCGCCGCTCCTCATCGAGATATTCGGAGAACCCGACAGTCAGCCGCCTGTTGACCAGTTGCCAAGCGCGATATTCCTTCCAGCGGCACAGCTGTCTGGAGAACACCCCCCAATCCTGCGGACTCGGTGTGTCGGGATATTCCGTCCACGGTCGCAACATATCGCGATATGCGTCCGGATCCGTAGAGACTTGCGGTAGGAGACTGAGGGGAAAGAGCGGCCTGCAACCGTCATCAAGGAGGGCTTGGTAGCACCTGGCCTGGTACTCCTCGTCTTCAAGAGGCGGGACAGTCGATGACCTGGAGGAGCTTGCATACTGGCGCGTGGTATGCGGTGATGGCGAACTTCTGTCGGAGGGTATTCGGGCCAGCAGTGTAGGGAGTTCGAGGGGGTCAACAGAGGATGCAACGGTTTTCCTGAATGGGTGTCAGTCACGATTTGGATTGATATCGCAAATGGCGAATTGCCATGAACTCACATACTCAGAGCGTTGTTTTCGTCGCTGAGATTGTCCTTTACAAACAGGGCGAGGTCATGCTCGTTGAGACGAACTTGGTCAACTGAAACCGGCACTTTGTCATCAACTGAAAGCGGCGTCATTATGGCCTTGGCTTGTTCGTGCGTGCAGGGTGCTGTCGGTAGGATGATGTTGTCGCGGTGTGCACGCGTTTGAATTGTCGAAGAGCATCTTTATCGGCATACGTATATATTGTGGAGCAGTGATCGGACGATCTAGGCCGCAATCGGAATTAGAGCATAATAATAAAGATATTATAGCAATATTATATATAATTTAATTTTAACATGGGGTTGGCCGGTGATAGTGTCCTAGCTCTTGGGCGGTGACTTGTCACTGTCCCATGGGCAACTATTATCGCAAGAAGAGGATTGTCAAACGGAAAACAAAGTAAACGAAATACTCCGTGCGCGGAGGGAATGAGGTCGGCTGAGCCCACTCCGGTTTCGAAAAACGAGCCGTCACACCCACCACCGGCAGGAAATCCTAGTCATCTCGCTTTTCATTCATAATGATTGGAACAAGTGGCAATCAAGTGATGAAAACTGCCTGCCTTTCTCAATGGTATTACCGTCTACTCCTCTCGACACATGGCCACCCCATGAAACCTAGCTCTATCCCAACCATTATTGTCCTCCTATTAGTGCCCATTCATCATGCGAGTCCCATAAATGGGCTGACCGGCCGAGATGTTTTGGTACTCAGTTGGCCTAGACTGGAGTCAACACAGGAGGCAACTGCGGAGAGGGGAATTCCGGGAGAACCAAACCGTTTAGGGGCAAGGACCTTGAAGGTCATGCCTCGATTGAGCGCACTACACCAAGAATTAGTGGACAGACAGCTAGAGCATCGAAAGAAGACGGAAAGCCAAAACGCGTCCCGGACCAGGTATCTGGGCATCCACTAAGCGTGCGGGTTAGGCGGACAGAAGTGAATAGCCCATCATCCTGGCAAAGCCTGGGGCATCAGACCAAAGGAGCACGAAGAGTTCCAGCCGCCAAACAATGAGGGGAGAGCTGCGCATCGCAAAATGAAAACGTGTCAGACAGAGAGCAGTTTATCAGCGTTTAACGGCGTAAGGACTGCTAAAACAAACTGACAACTGATGTCGCTCTGCTGATGCCAAGCCTGACCAACAGGGAGGTTTGATGTCAAATAATCCCACCAGACAAAGCCGAGGAGTGGGCGGCCTCTGCGCTGCAGCGGTTCCCACGACTCACGACTCCCCGAAGAGCACAACCACCTCACGGTGGACACGTCTTCACCTACGCTTCGTGTCGTTCCCACCATCGCCCAACGTGCTGTTACCCACAGAGCTCCCAGCGACAATTTCGCGTACCCAGGCCACGCGTGGATCAATGTTTCCCAGCTACATGTGTGCAAGTGCGACAGCAGCAATCTGACAGCCGACGAGCATCCTTTGACAACGGGATCAAAGAGATGCTACCGCAGGATAGCTAAAGCGCCAACAGAAGGTACCCCTTGGTTTACACACGCCAGTACCGCATCAACAGCCAGTTGTGGGATCCGAGCCCTTGTGGTGAAGTATCCCAACGTGATTCCAACCGTTCCAAACAAATTTTCAATGACTGAAGCCCAACACAGGAGGAGCCGTGCCTGGCAAACAGGGGGGCTATAGATGCCAGGCGCCGTCTGTCCCTGTGACGGTTTGTTGTTGCCACTGCTGGTGAAAGTGGTATGAGGCAGTGCAGAAGGCGAGTGAGGCGAATGAGACGCCTTGTTGTTGTTCGTTGTTGAGAGGGATGAGAGAAACTGATGGCCGAGATTCATGCTCCTCATGGTGTCGTGTGTTGACATGGCGGATAATGTTTCAAGCGAGAATCGAAGGTCTCGAAAACAGAGAAATGATCGAGTTGATTTGAAAGACAAAATGATCGGTGGTGTTTTTTTCCCTCGTTGTGTAAAGAGATGGGTGGATTCAGGGTGGGTGAAGGTCCGAATGGGCTGGGAGAAATGAGGATAATAGCGATAGTTCGGCAATAGCTGGTAAAGATTGGTAGCGAAAGACATTTCCTTAATACAATAATATCTTAAACCCTTCCAAGATGTGAAACAAGTTCCTCCAACTCCATATTCGCCAATTGAGCATCTGAAAAGTCTTCGAACTTCCTTTCCTGAAACTGCTTTCCCTCCCATACGGAATCCATAGCTCCTCCTTCCGCAAGGCCTCCTCCCG